ACGTCCATTCCGAGATGCCGGCGAGCCGCGACGCCCCCGCCATCGGGCTCCAGCTGTGGCTCAACTTGCCTGCTCGGTTGAAGATGACCGACCCCAAGTACATCGACCAATCACATCATTGTCGGATGAAAATGTCGGATTTCCAAAGTTATCCATACATAAGATTCACTGGATGGTCACCCGCTTCCAGAACATTTGTCGATGAGCCCTTTCCCACATTATCGAGGCCAGCGCTTCGCTCGATCCCATGTTTTGGTCACCCAACGGTGCGATACATTATTGGTGGCCAAACTGCCGTCGGCAGTTGAAGCGGTAGCCCGCCGTCCATTATCGAGTGGGGGTTCAGTTCTGGATTTTCCATGTTTCGCCGAGCTCTGCATTCGACCGCTCGGACCTTGGCATCACGACGTGAGATGTGGAACCTCTTGCGCCCGTCCAACTGGCATCCCGCGGCGGCGTTGGAGCAATCGCTCCTGGAGGGGGACAAGCTGGAGCGCGCGATGCTCAACTCGCTCAAATTGGTGCCGTGGGGATGGAACATGGAGCAGTTGGCGAAGGAAGAGCGAGAATTTTTTCAAGACATTCCAGACGACTACAAGGGCAAAGAGCAAAACAGCAAGACGACCACGCTTCCGTACGCCAACTACTCGTACAGCAGCGCATATCTCGTCGACAATGATGTACGTGGCCTCGTTGGGACGGTCGTTCAGCGTGTTTTGACAGGGACGCCGGGTGGAGAGCGTCCGCCGGCGATATGAAGATTCGACGGGCAAGTTGAAAGCCATGCACGCCCGCGATGTGAATGGACGCAAGATGCTCGCCAAGTGGAACCGCGACCAGTACAGCGATAAAGGCACGCACGAAGTGAAGTGTTCGGAGGGTATGCAGAGTCAATTCCGCGAGATGTGAAAACAAACTTGTGCGCAGGGACTCCAGAGGAATTTGAAGAACTGTGGAAGAAGACGCCATTTGCCGACGAAGAAAAACCCATAGAGTTGGGCGAGCCAGACACCCTCAAGCAAAACAAACCGATGGACACGGAACAAGCCCTGCCGCTGCATGCATCTCCCATCGAGTCTGCCACTGCCTGAGAGACTCCCCAATCGATCATGTAGTGCCAGAACATTATTGAAAGACATCCACTTCGTCAGCTTTCCACGACGTTTGTCGTTGGGGACACGACCATGTCACCCATGTTTGATGCCTAAAACAAACTCGAAGAAGCTTTGCATCTTGACAAACGCGACAGAAACCATCGGGTCGAAGTTAGGACGAGATGATTTTAGTTTGGTCGGGGGCCTTCGGAGTTGGAACATGCATGAGAGCCATGTAGTTTACGGAGCGCGTCCAGAACTCTCTTGCATTTGCTTGCCATCCATGGTCGAACGGGTTCGCCATGGCCACTGCGCTTGAGGTGTCGGGGGTCGTGTTTAAATAGGCATACCTTTTCCAGTTGATCGATTCGTTGACGGTGATATTACGAGCCTAATTTTATCGTTAAACGGCGTATGAATGACGGGCTGACAGACGTACGATGCCGTTGAGTTGATCCGTCAACAGCTTGGCGACGAACATGCAGCTGACGACGGTCCAGAAGATGATGGTGACTTCAGGCAGGGAGTCGCGCAAGTGCACTTCAAGATACGTGTGTTTCGACGACAGATCTAGCCACGAATCGAGTATAACACGTATTCGGTTGGGTTTGCTTTGCGTACAGAGGGAGAAGAGAGCGAGGTAGAGCCCCAACACGACCAAATGGACGATCAAAAATGCGACAAACAAGCGGTGGTTCTGAAAGCCGACACAATTGTTGATCCAAACGCAGTGGTGGTCCATGCGAGCGACGCACACACCACACGATGCACAGTGCTTGGACCGAATCGGTTTTGCCACCTACGAATCGACACATCCAGTCAAGCGAAATGTGAGAGTGCGACAGCGGTGTGGTTACCACGCATGTCGTGCAATGCGACTGGTCTAGCGGTGGGTATCCGTTGGCAGCTTGGGTCAGCAACGCCGGGAGATCCTTGTCCGCGGTTGCAACTTGGCCGGGTTCTCCCGTGATCAACACCATCCACACGACGACGCAGATCAATTCGGTGCCTGCCAACACTCCCAACACAGCCACATGGTCCATCCAAAACTTGGCGGCACCTTCCACTCCTACGCGCACATGATTGCCACAAGCGGACGGGGGTCGCAAGTGGTGTACCCATGTCGACGTAGACGCGGTACCCTAAACAGATTGTAAACCCGACGAGCCAGCCGAGCCAGAGCCCAATCGCGACTTCAGGCTGCCCCTTGACCCATCGCCACACTCGCACATGCGGACGTTCTGGTCTGTTATGTTGCCGTTGCCGATTCTGTTCCACCTGGTGCTCGTGGATTTCTATCCCCATGTGCATCAAGGTGCTGGATCGAATGGGATTTTGCGTACCAAACACAGACCCGCGGGTTTGCCGCACGATTGTCAGTGCCACGTTCGCAGGGAAGGTCACTTTGGGTTTGTTGGTGTTCGAATGCTTGTGGCTGGTGTTCGTCATGCTTCTCATGGACAGGAACATCGCGACGAGAAGCCCTGGAATGAACAAAAACCTAACATGCCGACGCATTCAGCTGAGGGGTACAGTGACAGACTCACCAAGGCGCGAAGTAGCTCAGGCTCAACCACCCGATCCAAAGACATGCGTACAGCGCCATTACGTGCTGGCGTGTACGGCGGATTTGTGCAAACGACTGGGGTAACATTGAATATGCACCATTGGCCGTTTGTCAACAAATCTTACCTTTGGCAC